CAAATCTGTTCTTGAAATTATCTCTAAATTCAGGTAAAGTATGTTCAAGGTCATACTTTGGGTTTCATGTATTAGTTTTAACTTTCTTGAGGTTCAGCCTGTCTTGTATATGAGCAATTGATGGTTTGTTCCTCAGTCTGCCCCTGGCCATGTTTTGGCTGATGACATGGAGCTTTTCCATTGTCTCTCCCACAGATGTAGTAAGTTTGATTTCTGTGTATTCCATCTGGTGAGGTCCATGTGTATAGTCATCTTCTATATTGTTGAAAAAAGGTATTTGCAGTGAAGAAGTCATTCATCATGAAAAATTCTATCATGCAACCTCCAGCATCATTTCTATTACCAAGGCCATATTTTGCAACTACTGATCCTTCCTCTGTTTCCAACCTATGCCTTCTCCTCACCATTATCAGTGCATCTTGATTGCATGTTTGATCAATTTCATACTGAAGAAGTTGGTAGAATTCTTCAATCTCATAATCAACTGGCTTTAGTGGTTGGTGTGTAAATTTGAATAACAGTGGTATTAACCTGTCTTCCTTGTAGGTATATGGATATTTTCCTATTACAGCATCATACATCAAGATAGATCTTGCAGTGTTCTTTTGAATGATGAATGTGACACCATTCCTCCACAATTTGTCATTCCTAGCATAGTAAACCATATGATTGTCAGATTCAAAATGGTCAGTACCAGTACATTTCAGTTCACTAATGCCTAAGACATCGATCTTTATACAATCCATTTTATTTTTGGCAACTTTCAATCTTCCTAAACTCATATTTCATAAAATTCATGTTCTGGTTATTAATGAATGGTTTTATCTATTTCTCCTCATTTTGAGTTGGGCTCCATTATCAAATGAAGGTCCCGCGAGCTTTACTCCATTTGTGTCATTATGGTCATCTGTACTTTGAGAAGGCAGCTCTTCCGCAGTTTTATTTTGTTGCTGTCTGACAGCACTCCACTGCTATTCATTAGGTTTTCCATGACTAAATATTCAGAAGCAGTCTGCCTTTCCTTCGTCCTAGTCTGTCTTAGTCTGGCAGTTCAACTAAAACCTGTCCACCATTTATGATCCTGTTGTTGTTACATGCTATCGAGTCAGTTCCGATCCATAGCAACCCTGTATAGGGTTTCCAAGGAGTGGCTAGTGAGCTTGAATTGCCGACCTTGCTGTTCAAATCAACTTTGCAGTCCAGCACATTAACCACAGCGCCACCTCAGGACTCCATGGATGACCATACTGGTATATAAAATACCAGTTGCATAACTTCCAGCACCACATCACAGTACCACAAACTGACAGATGAGTGGTGGTTTTGTTGTTAGTAGTCATATACTCTAAGACATACTTAATCAATTTCAACTTTATGACATATTATCCTGTGGTTAAAATTGATAATAAACAATACTAAGGATTCTGTACTCTGGTATAGGAGGAGGTTCATGGTGGGGGTGGGGTGACACCAATTCTAGTGACCCCACTGTATAGAATTCAGTTTTTATTTTTCAAAAACTTCCAGAGAAAGATAATCTGTGGTCTCCCCTTTCTGTATTTAGCTATCTTTCCTATCAAGAGATACTTCTTTAAGGATAAATTAAATCCTCATATTGTATTTAAGGAGCACTGGTAGTGCAGTGGGTTACGAATGGGCTGCTAACTGCAAGATCACCAGTTCAAATTTACCAGCTGCTCCACGGGAGAAAGATGAGGCTTTCTGCTCCTGTATAGATTTACAGGCTCAGAAACCCTGTGCAGGGTCACTATGAGTCGGAACTGACTCCACAGTACTTAACAACAACATAGAGTTATAGCCTCAGAAACCCTGTGCAGGGTCACTATGAGTCAAATCTGACTCCACAGTACTTAACAACAACATAGATTTATAGCCTCAGAAACCCTTGGAACTGACTGAATGGCAGCATACACCCACCACCATTATATCTATTTTTCTCTGTTCCTAGTATGGAGATAAGACCTAATATTTCTTTTGTAGACCACTTTAAGAATTTAATTCATAATATTTTCTCATTTGAAATAAAAAGTTTGAGTTCACTCGTAAAAAAATTACTTTTTAAAAATAAAATAATCACTTCACTTTTCCAGAATAAATTATTACAATCATTTTCTATACACAGCCCATTCGTCTTTACCTTTTCTTTTTTCAGTAGTACTGTGCAATGTATGATGGTAGGAACATAGTCAGTAGACATTTGTACCTTTTTCTTGATATTTCATATTTCTAGTTTTCTTCTTGATTTTTAGATCCGGTCCTCAGACACAGAAAAGTCAGTGACTATGCCACTGTGTACCAGAGGTCCACTGCATAGGACATTTCATTTTTAAAAATCTGTTTTGAAAACCTGTGTGCCATTCTTTTTAACCAAATGAGAATGAAACCAGGCATTACTGTAAAAAGCCTTTCATACCCCAACTAGTGGCGTTAGCAAGCTGATAGTCATAGGGTAAGAGCACACTGTGTGGTCCTCACAAAAGTTGGTTGTCACAGGAAAAAGAGAAGAGTCAGGACATTGTGTCATTTGTTGTCTTTTAACTACCCAAAGAACATGTAAAATAATGTACTTGAGCATCTTAAATTTTAACTTTAAGCTTATTCTGAAACAAATATTATTTTAGAACTTATCTCCCTGGAGTTTGGATTCAGAAGTACCTGTTCCTGAAAATAAAATCCTCCCACCTGGAAGGGATAATGCATCAGGTGGTAAGAAGCCCTAGATCCGTGTGTTTATACTGCAATCATCACTCATATCAAAGGGGGTTGGTTTGGGTTGTAACATTTTGTATGTGACTATTAATTGCCATTTTTTTCCCACACACATCATTTCAGGAAAAATTAACAAGGTAAGGATTAATGTTTAGTTTTGAACAGTTCAAAAAATAGATTGTTTTAAAGTAATATACATGTATGTTCTTTAAAAACAACAACAAAAAACCCTTCCTATAGGTTAAAATTAACATTTTATTTATTTAGAGTTATTCAAACAAGTCTGAAAACTCGTCATTAAATAAATATTATTCCATAAGGTACTAATACCACACCCCTGTTGTACAGTTGAGGACACTGAGGCACAGTTCCAAGTGCGACTAACCTAGTCATACTATCAATGAGTGGGAAACCCATTGTCAGCAAGTTGATAATAATATATCTGGAAATTAACATGATACTGAATATAAGTTTTTCTAATTTTGCCAAAAGGGAAGTAGTTTTAGTCAAGATGAATTGCAGTAATTGAAAAGGTCAATATCTTGTGATGTAGTAAAAAAATTAATCCTTTCTCTTACCCTTTTGATAAAAATATAAAATATTTGACTATTAGCAAAATAACCCTATTGCCATTGAGTTGATTCTACCTTGTAGCAACCCTGTAGGACCAAGTACAGTTGTCCCATAGGATTTCCATGCCATAAACCTTTGCAGAAGCACACTGCCACTTCTTTCTCCCAGGGAGTAGCTGGTGGGTTCAAACTGCCAGCCTTTCAGGTACTTTAACCATTGGGCTACCAGGGATCCTTTAGTAAAATAAAGACCATCTAAACTCACCAGCCACTCCTTAAGAACACTATACAACCAGAGGCGGGGCTAGGGTGGAGGTGCAGTGAAGTTCGCCATCAGCAATAACACAGAATACCAGGCAAAGCAGATCCAGAGCAGAGCTCCAAAACTCAGAACCACAGAGATAGGGATATTTTAAAAGTTTGAAGGCTTACAGCTTGTG